TATGTTCTGAATAGCAGCTGAGCATAGTTCTATGACACATACCACATTGAACACTTTGAGACTTTTCTGTACTACACGTTGAACAGATAGCTCGAGATTCTTTGTCTGTACTGCCAAAAGCATAAGAGTTACTGTGCCGCTATTCAGAGCCTCCGCCGTAGTTTGGATAAGCTCATCACAATGTGCAGCAGGATCATTCATCCCTATTCCAAAAATCAGAAATCAGGCATAAAAACGTTCATCAGCCACGTGATAATTGACCTTCCAAAAGCACAAATGGAGTTGTGTCCCCAATCTTGTCCAAGCATTCTCTCTGGAAAATCTCCTTGCATCTCTGGTTGGTCAGCCTGTCCAAGTCATCACCCGCCTGCTCATCGTCCTCCAAGTCCATAAGTATGTTTCGCCTAAATGCATCCAACTTTGTGAATACGGCAATCACAGGAACTGTGCAGACAATTAGAGCAGAATGGATGGTTGGTCACTAGTATACCATTATTATCGATCTGAAGTGCGTGGAGTGGATCGACATTCAACCCGGGACGATGATCATCCATTGGTATGCAGTACCTGAAAATAAACATAACCCTTGGTCTTAAGAAAAAGGGTGCTGCATACCAAATGACATGCAGTTGCTCAACAAGTCTCTTCTGCTCTGCATGTTTACGAACAAATTCTTGAAGAGTCTTCAGCTCCTTTGTGCTCCCGTTTTCCAGTCCACACGAATCATGGAATACATATCCGTTGTGATTCGAGAACTCGAGCTCGTCTGTAATGTTGTGCTCTCCGCGCTAAAAAGAATACATGTTAACTAAAGGCCACGAAGTTACCAGTACCACAGCGCACATCTGATGTCGGAATGAGTTGAATCTGCTGGCCCATTAGTACAATGTGTGATGGTGTGCGTGAGGTCTTTGACTTGACCTTTGTGCGTTCACCATCCACCATTCTGTATGTCTCTGGACTCTCCGTTGTGTCGCACACTCGCTGCAGAATGGTGGTCTTCCCGGCATTTGCTCGCCCAGCGATGAGGACTCGAAATTTGACCTCCGGAAGCTGCCTGCGTGGACGTGGAGCGGTCTGGTCACTCATGGTGCGGGGTAGGAAGTGTGTGTGTAGGTGGGAGGAAAACGGTGATATATAGTTTTCGTAGTGACTGATGAGCATCATGCCCTAACTCAATCTCCGATGGCCGGAGCAAATGTGGTCGACAACGTAAAGGAGCCGCATGTACCGGTCCTAGAATACTTTTGTGCTGTATATTGGTTCGTAGGCCGGCGCGTTGTATCCGGTCAGAAATTCTTTGAAAGAAATGAGGCTAATTACAAAGCTGTTAAGGTACCCTCAGGGCGGCCTTTATTCCAGGAATTGTCTGGCTGCGATGCGACAATTTTTCCAAGCACGAGGCAGTGACTATGATGGATTGTTCCATCTGGCAGTTGGAATGTCGTGGGAGACGCCACAACCTTCCCTGAGACCAGGCTCAAGCCGAAAGGCACGGCTGCTTCTTCCTGCCCAGCAATGTCAATTTGTGCTTCGTTGAGCTGTGTACGACAGCGACAGCGTCTATTGAAGCAGTACTGCACCCGTTGAATTCCCACCGCTGTCCTGTTTGCACCCCCATCTATCTCTGATATCTCAGCTGCTAAGTTCATTTGCAGGCCCGAACTCGAAGTCCAACACGTTCTACAACTATGAAGCATTTTTTTCTTCTTCTCGAGTTTCGCTCCGCATCTCACAGCGCGAACGGGGGGAAATACAATTGAGAAGCTTTTATTGCACCGAAGATGCGATACACGGATTTGCCATGGTCAGCCTGAGAACTTGAACCGCAGTTCGAATTGGATACTGGCAGCCGTGCTCCGCGGGGACATTAATAAATCAATCCATTCGTCTTCTCTTCTCTTCTTATCTGCTCCCCCCGCTGGGAGCGAGCCTCAGCGAGGATACTGTAGTGTTTCGACCAAGTGTTCACGTCACGGTCACACCCGATTTTTTTTGATGTGTGCAAAAATCGTCTTAAATCAAAACAAAATTTATCGGCCATCTCGGACATCGATTTTTCCGGAATTCGTGAACACTTGGTCGAAACACTACAGTACACCTACCGATTTAGTTGGTTATTTCGAGCAAGCACCTCCAATGTCAGAAAAATTTAAAACCGCCTCAGCAAAGATCTAGAAACATAACCACTTCAAGGTGGTATCCGGCATGCATACTAATACCTCGCGATCGACCGTCGTGCAGGGCGCACACCCGCTGCACATTGTCCTTCCTTAATGTGGATATGCGGACAAGTCTGGGTTCGACTCCCAGCGTTCGAATTCAGTGATCCCACGCTAATCCCGCGTTTTGTTTTGTTTCGAAAGGGGTTTTTTTCTTCTTCTTGTTTCAGTACGGCGTCTCGCAGCCTGAGCGCGAACGGGAAGAAATACAATCGAGAAGCGAAGATGCGATACAGAGATTTGCCTCCCATCCATGGCCAGCCCATGGTCAGCCTGAGAACTTGAACCAGAACGACGCAGTTCGAAATGAATGCAGCCGTGGTCTGCGGGGCCATTACTGGGCTCGTCTTCAAGTTCTTATCTGCTCCTCCTCCTGGAGCGAGGATATACCGAATACCTAATTAGTTACTATTCATTTCGAACAAGCACTCACAATGCCCGAAAAAATTAAAATCGCCTCATCAAAGATCTAGAAGCCTAACCGGGATACGAACGACTCGACCGTCGTGCACCCGCTGCACATTGTCCTTTGATGTGTGATATGCGGGCAGCGGACAAGTCTGGGTTCGACTCGGACTCCCAGCGTCGAATTGGTAATATATCGCGGTTTTTTCTTTTTTTTTCTTTTTCTCTCTCTCTCAGGCTAGAGTTTTGGTCGGTCGGGATCAGAACGGGGGGAATTACAATCGAGAAGCTTTTATTACACCGAAGATACGATACGATACAGAACATCAACCCCAGTGCACAAGTCGTATGTACACAACACACAAGTCGTACCCAAGTACACAAGTCGTATGTACACGATACACAACACAGAATCACGCCCCACTACGCGACGTGCATCTTCTCCTTCAGCCGCTGCAGCAGCTTGCCCTTCCCCTTCCTCCCCTTCTTTCCCTTCTTTTCGCCCCCTTTGCCCTCGTTCCCGCTCCCGCTCCCACTCCCGCTCGCACTATCCTCCCCCTCTGCATCTGCGTCAGACGAACCCGGCGCGGCGGACGCAGTATTGCACTCGGTAGAAGGCGGGTCCCCCGTCGGCAGCACGTGCGTCTCCGCCAGCCCGTGCCCGTGCCCTTGCCTGCCTCCCTGCGCCGCCGTGGAGGAAGAATGCGCGGGGTGGTGCGGAGAGGAATCAAAGTCCCCCGTCGGCACCATGTCCGCGCGGCGCGCAGAGTTGAGCGCTGCGGAGCCCTGCACCCCTCCTTGTACCCCGCCCGCGTGCGCACCCGCACCCCCCGCGGGCGTGTTCCCAAGCCCGAGCCCGGGCCCGATGGCGCCGACGAAGGGCGGGAAGGTCGACGTCAACGTCTCCTTGGGCGGGGGCGGCGGGGCAGAAGGGGCAGAAGGGGAGGGCAAGGAAGAGGCGAGAGAGGCAGAGGAGGGCGTGGGCGTGCCGAGCCCGCTCTCGCTCGACGCGGTATACCCGCTCGCCCCGCCTGGCGTGCTCACCGTGCTTACCCCGCCCGGCGTGCTCGCCCCCCCGTCCGCCACGGAAGTAGCAGAAGAGGAGACGGCATGCGGCGTCGGGTGCACCGCGAGCGCGAGCGTGTGCGTGGGATAGGCGTGCACGTGCGGCGCGGGGCCCGCGGCGGGGTGCGACGGGAGGAGGTCCGGCGTGGGCGTCGGGCGCTCAGAAGGGCCGCCGGCGGAGACACCCACGGCGCCGGGTAAGGGGGACGCGGTGAGGCCCGCGCCGGACGCCGAAGAGAAGGAGGAGGAGGGGTGGGAGGCGGCGAGCGACGGGGAGGGTGTGGGTGTGTCTAGTGGACCACTAGGCGCAGCGGGGTGCGAGGGCAGCAGGCCCGAGGCGGGCGCGGGCGGCGGGATGCCGGTGGGGGACGCGGCGTGCCCCGTGTGCGCGGTCGTGCTGAGGGCGGTCGAGTCGCGCGTAGGGGTCGGGGATTTGCGGGCTTGGGAGTAGGGCTCGGGGGCGGATTCGGTGTAGGGCACGCTGGCGCCGTGCCCCACATCGACAGTGCTGCTGCTGGTGGTGTCTTGGCGGTACGGCTCGGGCGCGGATTCAGTGTAAGGCACGGTGGCGCCGTGCCCGACGTCGACGGACGAGGTGGATGCAGGCAGCGCGGGGAGGGAGGAATCGGAGCCCGTCGAGGCTAAACGCAAGCAGATGAGCATACATCGATACGGAGCACAAGATACTCACGCAGGTACGCGGCGACACCCTGAGGCAGATACGCCTTCGCCGTCTCGAGCGAGGGGAGATACGCCTGAGCGCTGGCAAGGAGCGCACTCGCTTGCTCCTGCGCTCTAGCAGCAGTGATTCCAGCGCCCGGTGAGGGGTGCGAGGGGCTGGAATCGGGCTCGAGGTGCGCTGGGAACGCGCCAGGGACATCAGGGCCTGGCGTGCCAACGGGCGTGCGTGTAACGTGTGTGCCGATGAATTCGTTCATGCCGCCAGCCCATTCGTCGGCGGGTGTGTCCGGGAGGGTGCCAGAGGATATGGTGGGGACGAGGTTCGTGGCGTCAGCGTGGAGGGTCGCCATCGTTGGCTTCGCGTTGAATTAGAAAAAGCAGACAAGAAAAATCGCTGGTTTCGTTTCGAGTTTCGCGCAAGGTTGGCTCCTTGAGAGCAGTATTGAGAGCATCTTGGCAGTGACGAGGGTTTTATACGTGCGGCCAGCGAGACATGACCGCGGATGACGTCGAGGACGAGAAAGCGCGCGGGAAGCTGTCGACAAACAATACCACACATTGATGGCGTCGGCCTTTCCATCTTGCCTCACGCGTTCACAGCTCGAGGAATTACTAGGAGCAAGTAAATCGAATGTGGTGCACGGCACACGCCTGCAGAACTTAGCTCTAGACCACTTACGGCAGGAGGACCGGGTTCGACTCCCGGCGTTCGAATTCGCGTTCATAACAAGTCGTTTTATTCTTCCCTTTCCGCACTGCTAATCTACATTAAGTATTGCTTATTTCTGAATCGTGGACGGCGATTGAATCCCATTTTCCCTTCTTAGGTACCCTCCTTTCGAAGTCCTCAGATGCCGAAGCAACAGACTCTGAGACAAATCCCACAGATTAATATTCAAACAAAGCTCGACCCACCTGAGTTGAATTCCACGTCTGAGATGGGCCGAGGACATGAATTACAATACAGTTTCTGATTTCAGGCCCGTGTCTGACACACGGCGTTCTCCGCGCATACAGTTGTTCAACGAAGCAAGAAATCGGACGTGGTGCGCGGTGCACGCCTGCAGAACTTAGCTCTAGATCTAATAACACTACTGCCGGAGCTCCGGGTTCGACTCCCGGCGTTCGAATTACGAAGCGCGCCTGGTTCCAGGTTGAATTTTAAAGTAAATGCGGTGGTCGCGGGTTCGAATCTGGCAGAAATCGGGCATTTTAAAATGTTTTCCTTCTCAACTGGGTCAGTTCGAGCGCGTATCCTGTGAAGATTTTGTCGTTACTACCATGGACAATGAGGCTCCAGACATACAGTCGCGAACGGCGAAGCGAAACGCGATGACGTAGCGAAACACTACCAAACAACAGTTGTGACTCGCTCTACAGCGTCCTTTTGGGCAAGGAAAAGGGTGGAGCCCATGTTTTTGAGGTCCCTGAGTGCAATGGAACACACCAAGAACTGGGAATCTGGCTCATTACCCCTGTTTGACGCTATTTAGGGCTAATTTGCGCTAATCTCAACCAAGATCCCAAATTTTCGACTTGTGACCGCACTTCAACCCGTCAATTCCAGGAAATTGACATTGGGCATGAACTGTCACAATATTCTATGAAGCTACAGGTTGAGGCGGGGAGGTTTCACCATTTTACGCCTCGATTAGGGTTGTTTGCAAGTGTTTCACTGCAGCCGTAATGCGAACAAACTCCTGATTCGGCCTCGTTCTCGCTCAAAATGGGGCCAACCACCGTGGTTCTTGTGGCCAATCAATAGCAAGGGAACTAGTGTGTTGGACTGCACTCAAAAATTACACAAATAAGTGCTTTTCATCCCGCAATCTGCCGATTTCTCTAAGCGTTTCGCTTCGCCGTTCGCGACTGTATCCTCGATTTTGATGAATTACCCGGAGTTTCGGGCATCTCGGAGATGTCTTATTTCTTGGTTCGAATTACGCCTCAGGTCATTGTCTTGTTTGGTCAAAGCCTTTCTGTTCAGTATAAGCTTACCAGCCTTCACTAAACAACACCCCCAGTTTCCCAAGCGGAATAACTTAGCTCGCATCGGTTTCATTCCGAACTTCCAATGTGTAAACTCAGAGGTACTGTATTTCTTCATTCAAATCGACAGTCACGAATCAAGATCTTCCAGATCTCGGGTCTGTAGGTGCGTATCCTTCACACATTCAGTGCAGGTATGACACGGGCTGCCTTCACAAATCAATTTGGACCCTCACTTGACACATTTACCTTCATGGGCTGAGTCACAGGTTCCCCTTCACGCGATACATCTTTTCCTTCATGACTATAAAGTGATGATCATGGGTCCTACCACTTGACTGTTTTGGGAGCTGCTCAACCGGGGCTCAACTAACATCATCTTTTTGCAACTACCGCCGGTAGTACCTTTTAACATTGATTTCACCTTGATTGTCTTGATTATGTCCCTGTGGTTCGCAAGTCAACCCTGGCTCCTTCACACGACACTTGCTGGCCTACTGTCCATTTAATTCGGTTTGGGTCCTTCAAAGTATTTCCTCCGCTTCCTCCTAGTTGACCCGAGATTCATCACAGAGTTCCGATTTGAATCACAGACAGACGAGGATTCCGAACATTGGCTTAGATGAACTTAATCGAAGTCATTCTGGGTTGAATCAGGGCAGTATGGGTTGAATTTTGGTTCAGTTTTGTCTAGACGAGTTTGTATTTTATTTTATCTCCTTTGATTCACCTTAACAATGGGCTCGAGGTAGGTGAGGTTCCAGCCATTTGTATCATAGATGTGTTCCCATATTCATTATCAGTGGTTGAACTTGAACAATCGAGCAAATTGACTCAGCCCGTTGTTGTGTTCAAACTTCACCACTGTGTCCATTTGTTCTTCAGTTCAATTCTATTTGGCAGTTCAATCATTGTATGCCTCGGTAGGCAGGAGTTGTGCCAGTTTCATACTAGGCATGTGCCGCATGTCCGCCAGTTTTGTCAGACATTTTTGGTTTATATCGTCATTCAAATACCGGTACTGTCTACAACTCTTTCACCAACCGTTCGTGTTGTCGAGATTCAATTGACCTCTATGTGGTATTCGAGGTCCATAGAAGTCTAATGTTGGACTTCATTTCAACGTTGCCAACTTCAACCTTTCCTCTCACACAAGTTGAAGTAACCACACTGCAGGTCAGCAAATTATCTAGGATTCTCGACCTCTATCTTGGCCTGAATGCGGAGACCTAATTGACTCGGGGTACGTTTAACGTTGCATCTGTCAAACCCTTCAATTATTCCGCTTAAATAAGACTTTTCTCTGCAACGTGGAGGCTGGAAGGTTTGTTTCCACAATCAATTATCCTCGCGTTCTTATAATCTTCCAGCGGGTTTGAATCTCGGGCTTCTCGGGGATGGGTTGAATCTCGATGTCGTATTTTGACTCAAAGTTTTTTTTTCTCAAGCGGATCCATAGCACTGCTGATCGTCCCTTGCTTTTTGAATTCGGCTCTACGACAGTCAAGTTGACAATGCAACTTCAATGCTCAATGCTAACGGTTAGTCTTCATCCAATTCATTTTTATCCTGTAGGCATTGAGCCGACATCAAATCTTCCAGCTCTTCAGAAGTCTCCTGCTTTATCAAAGATCAAGATGAATTGGCGCGTCTTCTCAAATATTTCTCCCAGGATATCCTTACCTTTCCAGATCCGATTCAAGCCCAATCGTACATTAATACTGGTTTATTAATAGTGAAGATAATAGACAGTCACCAAGAGACTAAAGGGCCTATCAATTACTCCACATCAGAAGCTTTAGTGTCCTTGTCTATAGCTCCAAGTTCAACTTTCCCACGATCTGCTATTCAAATGCACAATCGGAAATTCCCGTCTATTGGCCATTTCAACACCATTCAATCATTAGGAATGACTTATACAAGTCGAAAACAAGAGACAATCTCACTTGGTAGCCGCCTGCGTAGGACTTTAAGTCCCCGAGATGCCCGAATTCAAGTCGCGTTCGAACGTGTTCAAACGCTGAACCGAACCTGAACGCGGGTTCAGGATCAAGGTTCAGCACTTTGCTGAACCGAACGCGAGATTCAGGTTCGGCGTTCGGAGCAAAGTGCCCCGAACCTGAGCCGAACCGAACCTTGCCAGCACTACTGTCTCGATATGTAGGGGAGCAACGGCCCAGGGACCGTGACATACCCGTTGCCTCTTTTTCAGGCAACGGGGGCCACCGTGAGCGTGACCGTTGCTTGAGAAGGCAACGGGAAAACAAATTTTCATCCGGAAACTGGCCAAATGCAAGGAATTTCCGTGCTGCCCAGGGATAAAAGCTCCTTTCATGCCTATTCCAACCTGTTTCCAAGGCCAGATTTTTTTCTCAATTTTTCTCGTCAATGTCACGATCTTTTTTGGGCAACCAGTCCCACCGTTACCGTGACAAAGGCAACGCAACGGACGGTCCGTTACCGTGACCGTTGCTCCCCTACATATCGAGACAGTACTTGTCACCACTATTGCACCCTATAAACTCATTTTTCATCATTTATTCTAGGTCTCATGCCAAATGAACGCGAAGACAGTACATTTTCTACTAGTTTAGCCACTGGTTCGAACTTTTTGGCCAAGTTGAGCATTCAGGTCAAAAACTTCCAAAAAGAGTAAAGGAACTCGGAACTTGAACTTTGAAGTCGAACTTTGATCAAGTTGAACTTGAACTCGGGGATGATGTAGATTAACTCTATCGGCAGCTTGGCTGTGGTTCTGCATCCACTGTTGGTGGTTTTCACCCTCCCCCTAGGTTTCGGGTGTGATCCAGATCCAGATTCCATACCAGGATGCCGGGACAATGCTGGGATCATAATACATGTAAATGACTGAGGATTGGGCCTCTTCGAGGCGGGAGCTGAATCTTTAGGTTCACATTCAAGAGCGGTTCAAGTTCAGGAGGGAATCTTTATCCTCCCAGAAAGCTGGAATCGAGCCGGAGCAAACATTGCTGCCAGAAATATTTCGGTGGGTAAGATCGACGAGCAGCACAGCTGCTACCAAAATTGATCAACTGAAGGTCAATGAGATTAAAATGGGTATTACAGTACAGTATAGTGCTGCTCCTTGGATGATGCTATATCCTTGGATAATTCTTTTTTAACTAACCTCACAGAGGTCGTAGGTTCAAATCCTCTTGCAAGTACCATTATATAGCCCTTCCACACCCTGTGAATTATTTGTGGCTCCCGCATCGGATTGAGGCTTGAAGGGGACACATTTTGGTCTAAATCACTGTCAGATCGGACGTGATGGACTTTTCTTTTCCCTCATGGGACACAATTCTGGCCAACAATCGGCTCAAAAACAATTCTATTCAATACCTACCCTTCCTAGCTATGATTTCGTTCAAGAGTCCGAATTAATAGGCCCAATAACGCGACCGCTGGAATTTGTACGAGTTGATGCACGTGGAAGCGTGACACTGTTTGTTGACGCACAACATCCATCTCTCTTCTCTGTCGTTTCTGCCGCGATCCGTGTCTGCAATTAGCCCAAGCTTCTCATGGTTGGACGCGCCAAATCTGGGCGTGTCAAGGCCCACGACAACTCCCGACAAAAGGAGCTGCGAACACGGGCGGCAGTGGGAGAATATGAGCGGGAACACGCCAAACCCGCCAATCTTGGGAAACCAAAGTCTATTCAGGATATTGCAGAGCATCATAACATATCCTACACTACTCTA